AATATTGCTTCTACAAGTGGTCTTAATACAGACCGTCCAATGTACAAGGAATTTTTGGATTTTATGAAATCCCAACAAGGAAAGGATAATGTTCCTTAATCTTATTCCACAGTTCTCACAGATGAAGAGAACATAGAAATATTTTATCAAAATGATAAAAAAGAAGTTATACTTCTTCTAGAACAAAGTGATTTGCGATGGAAAAATGACCCTTGGCAAATAATGCACAGGTATCTGGATTCAGTTTCTTATACTACATCTTCTTATAAATATAGGATGCATTATGAGATGATACTCTCAGCAACAGGATCTGAGGAATTCCAGCATTTTTTACCCAGCTAATACCAAAAAAAATTATAACTTTTCAAAAATCATTATAAAAAGAGTTATGGCCCCAAAAGAATGGGGAATGAGCCTATCCATCCAGAGCAAAAGGTAGTAGTAAAATACAGTTACTGGGACTATATGGATAGCTTTAATAATGTTTTATTAAATGAAACTGCTAATAAAAAGCATTCTTGGTTTATAAAAATATGCTCTCATGTTTTTAATCAACCTATTCCAAATTGATTTTGTCAATGGTGGACTTTATATGATTCCTAAGTAAAAAATTTACCTTACAAAACACTATATTTTGAATGGGTGGATGTCTCCCCTAAACTCAGGAGTTTAGAACAAGATAATATATTCGTTAAGGGTGTGTCCTTAATGTATTTCTTTATAGAATTCTCAATCCCATGAATTATGAGATGGTCTGTAGAGGCTGATAATACCTTTAAAGGATTTCCATGTTTACAGAGAACTTTTTATACAAAGTTTTGGAACAAATTAATACAAAAAGATCTTGAAGGAAAAATTCATGGTCAAGAGATTATAGATTTAATAAATACAACCATGGACAAATACCAAAATTCAGAAAGATCAAAACCACAGTTAAATGATCTTAGTCCATTCGTTTGCCAGAAAGCTTCAGATGAAGAGAGGAATAATATCCAAATCAGAAGCCATAGCCATTTATATGGAGGAAGTATAAAGAATTTAATGAAAAATCTCGATATAGATATAAGGGATGATATATCCATGAACTCAGCTAGCCACACCAATGATGATGAAGAATCATGCATGGCAGGAGAAGCACAGAGTGCTAATAGCAATGAAGATATTGACATCGATACTCTTCTCCAAAGACTCCAAGACCAAGTGGAAGAATCTTCCAGCAACACCGCCTGCAAAGGAAAAGCAAAGGTGTAAAACAAGAAGGCCCAACAAATTGAAGGCCATATTTCAAAGTGGAAAGACCACGTCTGTTTGTCGGTCTTATCTTTTTCTTATTGGCCATTGTAAATTGTGTGGGCCACCTTATCTTACCGTTTTAGATTTTTTGACCTCTATATAAAGAGGCGAAACTCTCTTTAGTGAGGCAGGTCTTAGAACCTCTCTCTCTCGCTAGTACTACTTTCTTTGTAAATTTTTGAGTTTGTTGAATAATAAAAGCTTTCAGCTTGGTGTGTACATCATCCTTGTATGGAGTGCTACTTCAGGTACTATTTAATTTTAGTTTTTCTTTATGTGCTTAGCCTAAATGATAGGCTAGATCTTTTGTGTTGAACTATAGCATACTAGGTTACTATAAGAAATGGCGATTATGTCTATTGTTGAAACATATTGAACAGTTATACTTAGGTCAAGTCTAAGTGATCCAGGCAGGTTCTTGAAAGGCTGTCTAAGGAATCAGTTGGATTACCAGTTAGCCAGGAGGGCGTTAGGGCGGACCCGGATAGTAGAAGTTTTCATTAACTATTGTCAGGATTGTTTATACTTGTAAATGCACCTTGAGTAAAAACTGAACGATCCGTTGAAACTATGGTGAACAAGATAATATATTCTTTGAAGGTATGTCCTTAATGTATTTCTTTATAGAATTCTCAACCCCTTGGATTTTGAAATGGTCTATCGAGGTTAATAATACCTCTGAAGGATTTCCCTATTTACAAAGAATTTTTATACAAAGTTTTGAAACAAACTAATACAAAAAGACTCTGAAGGAAAAATTCATGGTCAAGAAATCATAGATTTAATAAATACAACGATGGACAAATACAAAAATACAGAAACATCAAAACCACAGGTGGATGATCTTAGTCCATTCAAACAAATTGCAAGGAACCTTCAGATGAAGAAAGGATTAATATCCAAATCATAAGCAATAGCCAATCAGAATTAAGCATGATTTTGCAAAGAGATTCTTTGATATTATAATCAATATCAAGGTTTTTGATTTTTTCCTTGACTCTACAATCTTTAGCATACTGACAAAATCTACCACACTTGTGGCAAGTATCTGTTTTGTCAAATTTTCGTTTCGATTTATAAAATCTTTTATTTTCCTTATAAGGTTCAGTTCTTTTTTCTTTCTTCTCAATTATTCTTTTCTTCCATTCTTTATAATCTTTTTTAGAAGATTTGTTCTTAGAAGAATGCTTCATATCTTTTGAACTTGCTTTAGGGATATCCAAAGCGCATTGTTCACAAAATTCTCCCAATTGTTGTCTTTCATTAAGACGATGCCTTTTAATATGTTGATTTAACTTGATTTCATTGCATAACGAGATTATTATTATTATTATTATTATCATTATTATCATTATAAGTTTTATTTAAATATAGAAGAATTTTAGTAAGGCTTCTCGACTTGGTTCTGAGATTGAGGTACAGTCAGATCTAGTACTACTTTTATTGGCTTTGTCTTTATGACTCCGTCTGATGAGCCGTGGTTTTTAGCCCGAAATTGAGTTTAATAAGTAGGGCGCTATATACCCGGTTAGAACTATCAAACACATGGGCTCAATAAAAGTATGTATTAGCTTCTTGACAGGCCCTTTGCTTGGGTAAAATAATTAAACCATGCAGTCTGAGAAACTATATTAAAATTCTTGCATATTTCGATTCTTATGTAGTTGGACTACCTCTAAGGATATTGACTTGTTTGATCTATGACTGGGCGGCCCACCGCCAGGCCAGTGATCCTGTATCGTTGGTATCAAAGCCTAGAAACTTCCATGGTATATATTTAATTGATGTGAAGAATTTCGGCATAGATATATTCTCTCTTTTATGGATCAAGCAGATATTAAATGCACTCGACTAGAAGAGGTAGATATACCTCAAAACCTTGATTTCTTAAACAAATGGATTATTCCGAAAGTTAATATTAAAACCATTTATGATTATGGTTGGTTTGATAAGATTTCTAATAAACAGTTGATTAAAACAACTGAACAATCCTTGGCGTTAAACTCGTCCGAACAAACTATTCGTTTATTAAATAAGCGTGATATTGAATTATATAAATCTCAGTATAAGTATTTGCATATTGGCATGGTTCAAAATGCATTTAAACCTTTAACTCTTAAAGGGTTACCAGAGACTTTCTTAGCTGCTCTACGAGATGCGAGGAATTTAAATTTTCATCAATCCTTGATGGGTTCGATAGAATCTACGGTGGCTTATGGTCCAGTTTATTTTAATGCTCAGCCCAATTTGCAGTTATCTTTGACTGATTCTAATATATTAGATGATTTAACCTTGAATATTAAAACGCATGGTTATAACTATGCACCTGGATCTGAATTAATTTGCTTGTCGTATAGAATCTACTATAAATTACTTGCTACTTTGAATCCTAGATGTAAGTTATATGATACATCTGATCAAACTATTTTAGTAGAAACTAATTTCGCCAAATCTAAGGTCACTACTAGAAGACCTATAAAATGGGAAGAAATTAATTTTCCTACCACTTGGATTTTAGATTTTGTTATACCCCCTGAGCAAATGACCGATGTTGTCACTAATTCTGAATATTCTCATATTAGTCAAAATTCTGATGGAAAAATTTGTATGCAGTTTGATGAAAAAAGTGTTCCTTATAGTAGACATTTTTTTGCTTCTGATAGAAGACTGGCTATTCAACATATTTCTCCAATAGAACCTTGCTATGGTCCAGCTAGAAATCGCGCTGCTTCATTACATACTTTATCAACAGTTATATCTGCAGAAAAACAAAAAATTAAAATTGATCCTCGGTTAAACATTGTTCAAACGAATGATAAAGCATCTGATATTTCTGATAAGGATATTCCTTCTGTATCCGAGATGGATTTTAATCTTAATGATACTTAATGATGAGTGAACATCAAATTGATTTTAGTCTAGGTTTGCTGGCAAGAAAATATATTCAAAATGAATTTTTAAATGAAAAATGGAACCGGTTTAAAACTTGGTTTATTAACACTTATAGTAAAGAAGATTTAAATAATATTTCTCAAGAGTTTTATGAAACTTGTGCATTACATAATCATATTATGTATTTTGTGCCTTGGTTTATAACCACTTATTTGCCTTTATTCATCAACGTTCTTGAACGATCTTACAAAGATGAATCAGGTAATATTATTCAATCCATTTATCTTCCTCAAGCTCCGTTTATTTTACCAAATAATACTGGCATTACTTTTACGGCTTTTCATAAATTTATTGATAATGATGTCGCCACAGTAAGTATAAATGAAATTAATCGTCTTATTTCACAAAATAATTATTTGGTTCTATATGTCAAAGTTATTGGTGAACATATTTGTTCTCTAAACAAAAAATTAGATAGCCTGTCTAATCTGATTGTTCAAATTGATAGTAAGCTAAAATCTGTTAAACAAGTTTCGGAACAGGCTTCTTCGTCAAAATAGCCTGATGTTCATATTCAAAGGCCTCCTGAGATTCAAGATTTTATTCTTAGACCTTTGCACGACCTTGAAAATCTTCTTGATAAAAAACTTTCTCAATTTGGTGTAAGTTCGAAACCGATAAGTCTCGCTGAAGATTTTGCAGATGAGATGGAAGCCACTTTTGATTTCAAAACTCAAATGGAAATGGAAGTTAATAAACTTCATGGATATCCAAAGAAGAATAGTGGTAATACTGCTTATGCTAGAAAACCTAGCATGCAAACATATTACTATCCCAGGCCTACTCCTCAAGATGTTTTAATAGAGGAAAGAGATTGGAATCCAACTAACACTTCTTATAGTGAAAGTGAGATTTATGAATGGAATCTTGATGGGTTAACTGATAGGCAGTTGACGATTATGGTTCATAGGATGCTTATGTATGATACTATCTGCAAAAGTATTAGTAACACTGACAAGACCATTTACAAGATGATTATTGCAAGATTTACCGATCAACTAAGAGGATGGTGGGATAATTATATGCCCTCTGATGCGAGAGCAGCGGTAATTAATGCTAAGGCAGTAAATGAAGGAGTTGATAATTTAGGCTTTGCCCTTGTTCAAAATAGAGAAGACGTTGTGTATACACTTATTTTGACTATTCTTGAACATTTTAGTGGTAGATTTACCAATCAATATGAAACCATTAGATCTCTTCTAAATGGTCTTAGATGTAGACATTTAGGTGAGTTTAGATGGTATAAAGACAATTAAGTCGGGTCATGGAACTTTCCGAAAATGGTTTAGAATTCTGGAAAGCCAAATTTATTGATGGCTTACCTTCTTTATTTGCAGAAAGAGTAAAAAAGACTCTTAGAAATCCTCAAGGAATTATTCCCTATAGTGATTTTACTTATGGAAAGCTTATTGGGGCTTGTACGCAAGAAGGCATAAATTTGTGCAATTAGTTAAAACTCTCAAGACAGCTTAAGATGGATAAGCTTAGAGAAAAGTCTCAATTAGGAGATTTTTGTACTCAATTTGATTTACCGGATGCTTCAAAAACCACCAACCGAGAAACTTCTAAATCAGAATCTCATAGATCTCATCATAAGAAAAGAAGATCTAGAAGAAGGACAATAGAAGAAAGAGATGAGCGTAGGACTCATCGTAAATCTCATAGATTTACCAGGAATAGGTCAAAGCGAAATCTTGATAAGATTAAGTGTTATAAATGAGGAAAATTTGGGCATATAGCTCTAAATTGTAAGCTGGAAAAGCTTAAGACTCTAGAACTTGATGATCATATTCAAGAGAAGATTTATAGTTTTCTATATACTTCTGGTTCCGAATCAGATTATGATGATTCTGAAGTAAGTTATGCAATAGAGGATGAGCAACCTGAGCCTTCTAAGGTTCATCAAGATTCGAATGATGCTTGCAAATGTCATGGTGATATTTGTCACTGCGAACATGATGAATTTTACAAGCTGCAATCTCAGTTTGAAGATATGAATATGTTCACTATCACTACTGATAATGTGATAGAACTTCTAAAAGAAGTTATCGATAATACTCTTCGTGAAAAGATCATTCAATTTGATGTTAGTAAAACTAGCTCTTCAACTAGTATTCCTAACGATAAAAGGGTTAAAGATGAGTTTAATTATTCTGCTCCTTACTCCTTGTCTGAAGTTCATAATAAACTCTCTTCTAAACAAATCATGATTATTCGTGATACCTCTTTTGATGATTTAAAAGGAGAAATTGAACATTTGAAGGAAGAAATTAAATTTCTTAAACAAAATCATATTATTTGTGATCACCGTCTTACTCAGATTGAGTCTGCTAATAGCAAAGGAAAAAATAAGGTTGATGAATCTAATGCTGAAGAAAATACTCTTGCCAACACTTTGAATATTGATCCGAAACAAAATATGTTTTTAGGAATGATGCAAATTGTTACAGCTCATAAATGGTATATTAAATGTACTATATTAATTGATAATATTTTTTCTATAACTGCATGGTTTAATTATTTTACCCAAGCAAAGGGCCTGTCAAGAAGCTAATACATACTTTTATTGAGCCCATGTGTCTGATAGTTCTAACCGGGTATAAAGCGCCCTACTTATCAAACTCAATTTCTGGCTAAAAACCACGGCTCATCAGACGGAGTCATAAAGACAAAGCCAATAAAAGTAGTACTAGATCTGACTGTACCTCAATCTCAGAACCAAGTCGAGAAGTCATACAAAAATTGTTCTATATTTAAATAAAGCTTAGATCCGTTCATGGTCTATATAAAAGAGAAGTTAGTTATCCGGCATAGATATAAATTTTTAGCCAGACATAGTCACAGCTTCCAGATCGGAGATATAAAAAGATTTAAAATTAAAAGTAGAGAATTAAATTACCTTGTAATAATGGCCAACAGGGCCGATGAAAAATATCAACAACTTTATTTACTTCCGGCGAACCTCCGGCAAACCGAGAGCTTTACAAACTAAGAGAAACAAACAACTTTAAAAAAAACTTTAATGAAGAGAGAGTGTTTTTCAACACCCCTCCTTCAAACTACAAAAGACCTTATTTATAGAAGAAAAAGGGATCTATCTACAGTGATCTACAGTGATTTACAGTGACCATGGGTCCCTTATCAATGGGTCCCAAATGTACAGTAACAGTTTTTCTATTGTGATTTAACAGTGTATCTATTGTTAATCAATAGTGGTCATCTTGTCTTTCTTTTTCAACTCCCTAAGTAAACCTTCTGCTTTAGACAACATATCTTCTGTCACGGGTTTCGCCGATTCACAAGACTGGGCCTCTTGAGCATCATCTACGATATCATCACTTGTTTCACTTCTTATTGAAGTGTCTGATTTTTCATAGTGAGTGATATTGAGGAGTAGATTCCTCCTAATTTCATCAAAATACTCCTTTATCATTTCTTCTTTATTTCCATCTTGAATGGAAATTCTTCTGGCAATATGTTTGACGGAGTTGTCAGCAATTATTCCTTTGTGAGGAATAGTACCATAATCTTGGATTCTTTGAGAAATAGAGTCCAATAATTCTTGGCCATATAATGATTTAGTCATGGGATCCTTCTTCATTAATTTATCCCAGAAATTATTATAATAAATCTGATATAAGCATGGAATTTGTTCTTAAGTAAAACCTACTTCCGGGGTCTATTTATGGATCCATGGAATCGAGAATTCTATGAAGAAATAAATTTGTTCAATTTGTTCTATATAACAAACATAATCTGAGTGGTATAAATCATTAAGGTCTGGTGAAACCTTAACCCAGTTTTTTTATAACTTTAAAAAGAGATCAGGTAAAATCTTTACCGTCGGTCCGTGGTATGACCACCAGTTCAAGAACCAGTTAGGAATTGGGTCAACAACTATATTTGCACATACCTTGATAAACCAAGTATGTTTATGCCTTTCATTGTTATAATAAAGGATTTTGCTGAAAGCGTTAATATAATCCCAATAAGTGAAATTGGTAGGGATTTTATTGAGGTTGATCTGCCTTTCTTTCATTGAGGATATACCCCAATCTTCAATTGATATAATCTGCTTTATGATCATTTTGGAGAAGTTATAAACGTTATCGCTGGTGTTATAACCTGAGAAGTGCTGAAATTCAACACTACCTGTATTCGTTAAAATAGTCTCGTAATACAAGCGGGTTTTGTATGACTCTCCTGGGAAGTATAATCCATTAAGTAAATATCGCTAGAATATCTTCCAGGGTTCTTCTTTTCTCTGTATCTCAGAGTTTTCAATAAGAAATATCATTTCTTTCTTTACTACCCTTGCATAGGATCTAATATCTTCAACATCTTCTTTCGCCACCGATGCAAAAATATCACTTTGCTTTTGAGATAAATATGCTCTCAATTGGGCGTATAATGGATTATTTTCTGGAATATCATCCAGATGTATCGAAGAAGTAGCTTCTTTTGAAAAGCTTGTTAGTTTTACCAAGCTCATTCCTCCCCTTTGTATAATTGGAGAGCTGGATGAGGATCCATATGACGATCCTGATGTTTTTGAGGAGGATTATCTTCCCCTTCCGCAAGTATAACTGCCCCTTCCTCTAGCCTTGGTTACCTAAGGAGGATCCATCCTGCAAACATAGCATTTAGTTTTAATCATCTAAAAGGTCATAAACTTCAGAACAATAAAATCTTTCATATAACTCTTGTTCAATCATGTAATTAGTGACAATATTCATCACCATTCCGTCTATAATTCTCCATAAAATACATTCCTGTAAATCTCTATTAAGAAGAACTGTCTTCAAAATTGTAACCAAAGTAATATCAGTAAAGAAGTCAAGAAAATCCATTTTTTTAAGAAGAAAGATATTCTCTAGATAAGAAGTCTGGGAGGGAATTATCACCTCCCTTTTTATAATGAATTTCGAAATCAAAAGGGGCTAATTGTGCCTGCCACCTAGCAAATATTAATTTGGATGCATCATGTTTAAAATCTTTATCAAACAAATATTTGACTGATTGAGCATCTGTTTTTATCACAAATTGTTGATTGTAAAGATCATCCTGATATTTTAAAACACATTTAACGATAGTTAACATTTCATGAGCTACCGTTGCATATTTTTTCTGAGCACCACTCCATTTTTCTGAATGAAACCGAATAAGGTATTCATTTTTATCATGCGGGTTAATCTGTTTTAATATTCCACCATAACCTTTATTGGACGCATCTGTCTCAACGATCTTTGGCCAAGCAGAATTAGCTAGGGTTAAACAAGGCAAAGATTTAACTCTTTTTTTAATAGTCTTTACAAGATCTGTGAGACTAGTAGTCCAAGGCTTCTTATGATCTTTTTTTAGTCTGTCGTATAACAGAGCTAAATCTCGAGACAATTTTTTGTAGAAGGGGGAAATATAATTTAAACTTCCCAGAAACCGCTGCAATTGCGTCTTATCTGTAATAATATCAGGGAATTTTGATGCGAATTCAATAGATTGCTGAATAGGAGTCATTTTTCCTTGACAAATCAAATGACCCAAAAATCTAATTTTTGTTTGAAAAGGACTCATTTTAGGTTTAGATATGACCAAATCATTTTGAATAATTATTTTCTTAAAAATGTCTAGATGCTTAATATGATGAAATCCAAATAAGGATTATTAAGCATCTAGATACCAAAATATCATCAATATAAACTATGATGAAATCCAAATAAGGATTAAAAATATCATTCATAATTTTTTGAAATTCCGAGGGAGCATTTTTTAATCCAAAGGGCATTACATTCCATTCGTATTGTCCAAACGGAACATTAAATGTCGTTCTATAAGAATGGTCTTTAAATATTTGGATCTGCCAATATCCAGATTTTAAATCAAATTTTGAAAAGATATTAGCATCATATAATCTTGATAATAAATCCCTTTTGTTTGGAATAGGATACCTAATACATTTTAAAAATTTATTTAAAAGTTTATATTTAATTGCTAACCTGGGAACGCCTCGTTCTTTTTCTGCTGCGTTATTAACATAAAATGCAGTACAAGACCAGGGTGACTTGGAAGGTTTTATTAAACCCTTTTGCAATAAATTATCAATTTCTTTTTTGCAGAATTCGACCAATTCGATATTCATCTGACAAGGACGTGATTTGGTAGGGATATTTTCTTCAGAGAAATCATTCTCATATGGAAGAGTTACAATATGCTTTTTCCGATTCCAAAAAGCACTAGGATGATCAGCACAAATATCAATGGCCATTTTTTCAGAAATGAGTTTAATCTTTTCCTGTACTTTAGCAGATTTTAAAGTATCGAATATATTCATACTAAATATCTCAAGTTGTAAATAATCAACATGCTTTTGTTTCATTTCAATTAGAACATTAATATCTCTAGAAATAGGCTCGGTGATAAAAGTATAACTAATATCTTGATTTTTATAAGTAGCAGAAAATCCTTTAGCATTTATATTAGTAAAAGGATAAATTGCATTTATAAAAGGAGTTCCTAGAATAATAGGAGGGTATAACTAATTTTTTACTAAGAAAAAGAAGTGAAGAATACAAACTTTATTCTGGCAAATTCGAGTATTAGATAATTTATACTTTATATCCAAAGCATGACCAGATGCAGATTTAACCATATGAGTTGTTTTTTCAAAATATTTAGTAGGTACTAGACCTTCTTGAATGCAACTCACATCAGCGCCACTATCAATCATAGCAATGTTAGTTATAGAAAAAATATTATCAATTAATATAGTACATTTAATATACCATTTATGAGTTGTAACAATTTGCATCATTCCTAAAAACATATTTTGTTTCGGATCAATATTCAAAGTGTTGGCAAGAGTATTTTCTTCAGCAGTAGATTCATCAACCTTATTTTTTTCTTTGCTATTAGCAGACTCAATCTGAGTAAGACGGTGATCACAAATAATATGATTTTGTTTAAGAAATTTAATTTCTTCCTTCAAATGTTCAATTTCTCCTTTTAAATCATCAAAAGAGGTATCACGAATAATCATGGTTTGTTTAGAAGAGAGTTTATTATGAACTTCAGATAAGGAGTAAGGAGCAGAATAATTAAACTCATCTTTAACCCTTTTATCGTTAGGAATACTAGTTGAAGAGATAGTTTTACTAGCAACAAATTGAATGATCTTTTCACGAAGAGTATTATCGGTAACTTCTTTTAGAAGTTCTATCACATTATCAGTAGTGATAGTGAACATATTCATATCTTCAAACTGAGATTGCAGCTTGTAAAATTCATCATGTTCGCAGTGACAAATATCACCATGACATTTGCAAGCATCATTCGAATCTTAATGAACCTTAGAAGGCTCAGGTTGCTCATCCTCTGTAGCATAACTTGCTTCAGAATCATCATAATCTGATTCGGAACCAGAAGTATATAGAAAACTATAAATCTTCTCTTGAATATCATCATCAAGTTCTAAAGTCTTAAGTTTTTCCAACTTACAATTTGGAGCTATATGCCCAAATTTTCCACAATTATAACACTTAATCTTATCAAGATTTCGCCTTGACTTATTCCTGGTAAATCTATGAGATTTACGATGAGTCCTATGCTCATCTCTTTCTTCTCTAGTCCTTCTTCTAGATCTTCTTTTCTTATGATGAGAACTATGATATTCTGATTTAGAAGTTTCTCGGTTGGTGTTTTTTGAAGCATCCGGTAAATCGAATTGAGTACAAAAATCTCCTAATTGAGACTTCTCTCTAAGCTTATCCATCTTAAGCTATCTTGAGAGTTTTAACTCATTGCACAAATTTATGCCTTCTTGCGTACAAGCCCCAATAAGCTTTCCATAAGTAAAATCACTATAGGGAATAATTCCTTGAGGATTTCTAAGAGTCTTTTTTACTCTTTCTGCAAATAAAGAAGGTAAGCCATCAATAAATTTGGCTTTCCAGAATTCTAAACCATTTTCTGCAGATATAACTGTTGATAAAGTATGTAATGAAGCAGCGCGATTTCTAGCTGGACCATAACAAGGTTCTATTGGAGAAATATGTTGAATAGTCAGTCTTCTATCAGAAGCAAAAAAATGTCTACTATAAGGAACACTTTTTTCATCAAACTGCATACAAATTTTTCCATCAGAATTTTGACTAATATGAGAATATTCAGAATTAGTGACAGCATCGGTCATTTGCTCAGGGGGTATAACAGAATCTAAAATCCAAGTGGTAGGAAAATTAATTTCTTCCCATTTTATAGGTATTCTAGTAGTGACCTTAAATCTGGAGAAATTAGTTTCTACTAAAATAGTTTGATCAGATGTATCATATAACTTACATCTAGGATTCAAAGAAGCAAGTAATTTATAATAGATTCTATACGACAAGCAAATTAATTCAGATCCAGGTACATAGTTATAACCATACGTTTTAACATTCAACGTTAAAGCATCTAATATGTTAGAATCAATCAAAGATAACTGCAAATTGGGCTGAGCATTAAAATAAACTGGACCATAAGCCATCGTAGATCCTATCGAACCCATCAAGGATTGACGAAAATTTAAATTCCTCGCAGAGCAGCTAAGAAAGACTTTGGTAACCCTTTAAGAGTTAAAGGTTTAAAAGCAATTTGAACCATGCCAATATGCAAAAATTTATACTGAGATTTATATAATTCAATATCACGCTTATTTAATAAACGAATAGTTTGTTCGGACGAGTTTAACGCCAAGGATTGTTCAGTTGTTTTAATCAACTGTTTATTAGAAATCTTATCAAACCAACCATAATCATAAATGGTTTTTATATTAACTTTCGGAATAGTCCATTTGTTTAATAAATCAAGGTTTTGACGTATATCTACCTCTTCTAGTCGAGTGCTTTTAGTATTATCTTCTTGATCCATAAAAGAGAGAATATATTTATGCCGAAATTCTTCACATCAATTATATATATACCATGAAAGTTCCTAAGCTCTGATACCAATGATACAGGATCACTGACCTGGCGGTGGTCCGCCTAGTCATAGATCAAGCAAGTCAATATAACGATACAGGATCACTGACATGGCGGTGGTCTGCCCAGTCATAGATCAAGCAAGTCAATATCCTTAGAGATAGTCCAACTATATAAGAATCGAAATACACAAGAATTTTAATATTGTTTCTCAGACTGGATGGTTTAATTATTTTACTCAAGCAATAAATTTGGCTTACCAGAATTCTAAACCATTTTCGGGAAGTTCCATGACCCGACTTAAATAAGTGTCTTTCAACGATACAGGATCACTGACCTGGCGGTGGTCAGCCCAGTCATAGATCAAGCAAGTCAATATCCTTAGAGGTAGTCCAACTACATAAGAATCGAAATATGCAAGAATTTTAATATAGTTTCTCAGACTGCATGGTTTAATTATTTTACCCAAGCAAAGGGCCTATCAAGAAGCTAATACATACTTTTATTGAGCTCATGTGTCTGATAGTTCTAACCGGGTATAAAGCGCCCTACTTATCAAACTCAATTTCAAGCTAAAAACCACGGCTCATCAGACGTTGTCATAAAGACAACGCCAATAAAAGTAGTAC